CTCGTCGACCACGACGTGGCTGACACCCTCCAGGCTGGGGTTCCCCTGCAGCTTCCGCAGCAGGATGCCCACGGTGCAGAAGAGCAGCGCTCCTCCCCTGGCAGGCGGCTTGCTCTCCAGTCGCACCTGGTAGCCCACGTTCTTCCTCATGTTGGGACCCAACTCTTGCGCCACGCGCTGGGCGACCGAGATGGCGCTGATCCTCCTCGGCTGGGTGATCACCACGTTGCAGCGGGCGCCGCGTCCCTCCAGGATGTAGTGTTCCAGCAGGAGCTGAGGGATCCTTGTGGTTTTCCCACAGCCTGTATCTCCTGCTATTACCACTACAGGGTTCTGCTCAATGGCTGATAGGATGGTGTCCTTGTGGGGGTCTACTGGCAGCGGGTGGCTCTCCTGCCACGAGGATCCTCTCCTTTTCCAGAGGGCCAGGAGATTCTGACTAAGGCGCACTTCCTCCGCTTCCAACATGGGTATATACGTCTTCCCCGTGATCGCATCACTTATCGCACCAGACTCCTTGCTCAGGTTCATCATGTCATCAGCAATCCGGGGCCTGGATTCCCTGATGTCCACTGGATACTGGGAGAGACAGAGAAAGTTGGCAGGGACAAAAAGATCGGTACCAGCCCCGAGAAGGACAGAAAGAAACAAGTGCCTGGAACAGACTCAGCCAGACTGGCCTTGCAGTGACCGAAGTCTCTTCAGATTTTAGGTAACTCAGCCACTTCTACTCTGAATTGAAGTTATTTAAAGTGAGAATTAACCTGGGCAGCTCCCTGCATTTTCCTCAGTGCAGCTCCTATTTTAAGAGTGGTACTCTGTCCAGTTCTGGGCTCCCCAGTTCAAGAAAGATGAGGAGCAACTGGAGAGAGCCCAGCGCAGGGCTACGAGGATGAGGAAGGGACTGGAGCATCTCTCCTAGGAGGAGAGGCTGAGGGAGCTGGGCTTGTTCAGCCTGGAGAAGAGAAGGCTGAGAGGGGACCTTTGAAATGCCTCTAAATATCTGCAGGGTGGGGGTCAGGAGGCCGGGGCCAGACTCTTTGCAGTGGTGCCCAGCGACAGGACAAGGGGCAACGGGCACAAACTGAAGCAGAGGAAGCTCCAGCTGAACCC